CAGGGTCGTCCAGACATAGCAGGCGTGGCATTTTCTCGACACCAGGGGGGTTGCGCAGGGGGTGGTCTCCCTATGCGCGCCAGGGTCGTCCAGGCATAGCAGGCGTGGCATTTTCTCGACACCAGAGGGGGTGCGCAGGGGGTGGTCTCCCTATGCGCGCCAGGGTCGTCCAGGCATAGCAGGCGTGGCATTTTCTCGACACCAGAGGGGCTGCGCAGGGGGTGGTCTCCCTATGCGCGCCAGGGTCGTCCAGGTATAGCAGGCGTGGCATTTCCTCGACACCAGAGGGGGTGCGCAGGGCGTGGTCTCCCTATGCGCGCCAGGGTCGTCCAGACATAGCAGGCGTGGCATTTCTCGACACAGAGGCGGGTGCGCAGGGGGTGGTCTCCTATGCGCGCCAGGGTAGTCCAGGCATAGAGCAGGCGCGTGGCATTCCTCGGACACCAGAGTTAGAGGGTGCGATAGGGGTTTGTGGTCTCCCTATGCGCGCAGGGTCGTCCAGGGCATAGCCGGCGTTGCCATTTTCTCGACACCAGGGGGCTGCGAGGGGGTGTCTCCCTTTATGCGGCCAGGGGTCGTCAGCTAGCAGGCGTGGCATTTTCTCACACCAGAGGGGTTGTGCGCAGGGGGAGGGTCTCCCTATGGGAGCAGGGTCGTCAGGGGATAAGGCAGGCGTGGCGTTTTCTCGACACCAGAGGGGGTGCGCAGGGGGTGGTCTCCCTATGCGTGCCAGGGTCGTCCAGGCATAGCAGGCGTGGCATTTTTCTCGACACCAGAGGGGGTGCGCAGGGGGTGGTCTCCCTATGCGTGCCAGGGTCGTCCAGGCATAGCAGGCGTGGCAGTTTCTCGACACCAGAAGGGGCTGCGCAGGGGGTGGTCTCCCTATGCGCGCCAGGGTCGTCCACGCATAGCAGGCGTGGCATTTTCTCGACACCAGAGGGGGTGCGCAGGGGGTGGTCTCCCTATCCGTGCCAGGGTCGTCCAGGCATAGCAGGCGTGGCATTTTCTCGACACCAGAGGGGGTGCGCAGGGGGTGGTCTCCCTATGCGCGCCAGGGTCGTCCAGGCATAGCAGGCGTGGCATTTTCTCGACACCAGAGGGGGTGCGCAGGGGGTGGTCTCCCTATCCGCGCCAGGGTCGTCCAGGCATAGCAGGCGTGGCATTTCCTCGACACCAGAGGGGGTGCGCAGGGGGTGGTCTCCCTATGCGCGCCAGGGTCGTCCAGACATAGCAGGCGTGGCATTTTCTCGACACCAGAGGGGGTTGCGCAGGGGGTGGTCTCCCTATGCGCACCAGGGTCGTCCAGGCATAGCAGGCGCGGCATTTTCTCGACACCAGAGGGGGTGCGCAGACCTTCAGCACCGCGGAACCGCCTTAAAGGCAGCCGCGAGGCGGCTGCGGCGCATCGGCCACGCGGCCGCGACAGCGGCCAGCGCGGCAATCCAAGCGGGCGTCGCCCTGGGCGCCCGAACGAGTAATAGACAACGAAGTGGATGATGAGTTTGAACATGAATAAGAGATGGCCGACGCACCAGTCGATCCCGAAGGACATGCGCCGATGGAGCGACGAAGACTCGAAGCCGCCGCAGAGAGCCCGGCAGACTGCGCAATGCCAAGCACCCCAGGCACTCGGAGCGCGCAGGCAAAGAGCAGCGCGACCGCGCCGGCGACTCTGGAGGGGCGTCTGGGGGCGCCTCCACGGACGGAAGCCAAACAGGCTGCATTGTCGCGCGCTCGTTAGCCAGCGGAGGAGCGACTGACGACAAGCACACGCAGAGGAAGACGCCCTCTGGTCGGCACGGAGGGCCGCGACGCGGCCAGAAGCGACCACGCCCATCCACGCGCGGCCCTCGACGGGGCCCTCGAAGATCCCCGCCTGGACCAGCAATGCCGCGCCGCCCGCGCGGGCACCGCTGGCACATCCCGCGACGCATGTGCATCGATGCAACTCGCTTGGGAGCCATGCCACGAACTGCTTCTCGTCGTCGTGGGCTTCCTGGACCATGACCACCGCGCGTTTTTCGGCGGTGGACAAACCTCCCGTTAGTAGACCTCCCCTTAGTGAAAACGACCTAGGGACCGAAACCGACGGACCTGGACCCGCAAAAATGACGGCCGCGACGCCCTCTCGCGAACCGAAAACGGCCAATTTCTTAATCGACGTGTCAGGGCAGGAGGTCTGTCCACCGCGCGTTTTTGGTGGAACCTTCCGCGGGCGCCCGCGCGCACCGTGGGAGGGGCAACACCTGCGACGTGCGCTCGAAGCCCCCGCAGTCCGCGGGCCGCGAGCGCCCGCCCAGGGGGCCCGGCACTGCACCGGCTGGGACCATGGCGCGTCGAAGCCCAGGTCCTGGAAGAACCTCTGGAACTCCGCGTCGTTGACTTCGCAGTGGGCGCGGAGCCGCTTCGCCTCTGGCCGCTCCCACTCGATCTCGGAGAGCTCGTCCGGGACGTTCGGGGCGAGGCTTCCGGCGACTGGCACGCGGTCGCCTGCGACTTCGCCCCTGTCGCGGGCAAGCGGGAAGTCAAACTGCCTGTAGCGTCGTTCCAGAGCTTGGGTTAAGTCGGGCGTGTCCCCCTACAAGGGGATTTGCGACGGAGAAAGAATATTCAAAAAATATTCCAAAATGGTCAAAATGCTGAAAAATACTCCCCAGACTATTTTTTGACTATTTTTGAATATTCCCCCTGTAGAGGGACAGGCCCGCCTTAAAGCTTGGGACAATCGTTCGGCCTGGAACTCGATGAGCGCGTGGAGAACGGCCAGGATTGATGTATAGTGGCCCTGCAGGTCCAGCCATGGCGAGGCGATCAACTAGCGCCAGTGCCCACCTGGGAACTTGAGGGCCTGGGCCAAGGCAACGGCGCGGGCATTGCCGACGACGCCGCCGCGCACCTCGACATGGAATCGCTGGGCAGGGCCGGCGCCACGGAGGGCGACGCGCTCGGGGCCGCGTCTCGCGGCCGACATCCAAGGGCCGACGGCGTGCAACACTGCGTCCAGGGATGACTCATCCTGAACGTTGGTCGCGAAGAAATTCGGTTCGGGGTCGTGGTTCCAAACGGCGAGGCGGACGATGTCGGCGACGCCCAGAGCGCGCCCCGCGGTGCGGTGCGTCTCCTCGATCTCGCGGACCTGGCCAGCCAGGACTCCAGGGCTGCCTGCTGCGCAGCAACGGCGCCAACCCGTCAAGAGCACTCGTAGCACTCGTGGACCTCGTCGTGGAGCTCGCCGAACTCAGCGTCCATCTTGGCGGCGTCGTCGGCGACGAAGCCGAAAATCTTGCACCTGAAAACCATCGCGACGGCCTGGCACGCCGACACTTGAGCCGGGTCGCGGTGCTGCCCGGAGAACGCCCGCCAGGACAGTCCGCATGTCCCGGGACACCTCCTCCTCCGCCTCCTCCTCCGCCTCCTCCTCCTCCTCCCCCACCGTCGGGGGAGGAGGAGGAGGAGGAGGAGGAGGAGGAGGAGGAGGAGGAGGAGGAGGAGGAGGAGGAGCCAGAAGTCGGCCGACGGACTCCTTGAGCTTGTCAACGAGGGAAGGCCCAGCTGGCTTGGGGGCTGCAGCAGGGCGAGCTCCAGCGGCCGCGGCATCAGTAGGGCCATCGGCAGCTGCCACGGCCGGCGCTCCACTCTGCGAGCCCGCGGCACCTGCAGACGCGGGCGAGCGGGTGCGTGAGCTTCTGGGAGCGCCTTGCGCACCTGGGGTCCCGCCTGGCGTTCGTCCTCGGGTTTGCGCCCATGGGCGCGCGGCTCGTCGGCATCGGGCAGGCCGACCGGGCGGGGCCGGCGGCTGCGACGTGGCGGCCGAGGCAGCTGCTGGCGCAACAGGTCCTCGACGTGGGCCAAAGCGAGCGGCAGCAGCAGCAGCAGCCGAATGCATGCACGGGCGGCCGGATGCACGCACGGGGGGCCGCAAGCGGCCGAGGTCTTGAGCAAAGTGATACGGGTACTCGCACCCGACGAGGTTCCCGAGGGGGACGCGGGGCTTGAGCCGAAGCGGCTTGAGCCAAAATGGTAACGGAGGGCAAAGAGGAGGAGGAGAAGGAGGAGGAGGAGGAGGAGGACCAGTGTAAACCCAGGACTCATCAACGATGTGGGAATCAACCCTCCCTCCAAGTTCCATCTTCATAGGCCCCTACAAGGGTTCATGTCCACTGAGGGAACTGCCTCGTTGGGAGACAACCGTTTGAAGACCCTGAAGCATGCCAAAACACCATTCTCGGGACTCCAACGCCGCTGATCAACCTGACTGTTGCGTCTTGACGATCCTGATTCGTGCTAGAACAAGATTCTTGGGACTTCAACAACGTGAATCAACCTAACTGTTGCACCCACTCACCATCCCGAATCCTTCCCAAACAAAATTTCTGTCACGTTGACCACGTGAGTCCGTGAAACTCTTGCATATGTTTAAACCGAATGCGCGCGGCGCGAAGGCGAGAGCCACATTTGAAAACAAGCCGCCCTCAATGTGTGAAACTCCTGCATGTGTCTGAAAAGAATGCGTGCGGCGCTAGGGCGAGAGCGACAGTTTGAACCGACAGCCCTCAATCCGCGAAACTCATGCAAATGTTTAAAACGAAAGTGCGCGGCGCTTACGCGAGAACCACATTCTGAAAACCGCTGGCCCTCAATCCGCCAAGCCCTTTCAACTTTTACAACGAACATGAGCGACGCTACGGCGAGAGCCACATTTTGAAAACCGCTGGCCCTCGATCCACGAAGCTGCTGTCCGTGTTAAAGCTTCAGGGTCATAAAAGGTGAGGTAAACTCAGACGAAACGCCTGGCCTGCCCTTTCGACCAGTCTCGGGGTGCGACAGGGAGGAGCTATTTACAAAGGAAAGGAATGGAGGAGGAGGAGGAGGAGGAGGAGGAGGAGGGGGAGCAGGAGGAGGAGGAGGAGGAAGAGGAAGAGGAGGAGGAGGAGGAGGAGGAGGAGGAGGAGGAGGAGGAGGAGGAGCGCGCAAAAGGGGCGTGCGGGCGGTCCGCGGGCCTCCAGCTGGAGCGGCCCCTCGTCGAAGCTGTGGCTCGAGAACCAGATGGCGAACTCCCGGAAACTCAGGGTGCCGCTGCGGTCCTCGCCCTCGCTCCTCGCTCCTCGCCCCCTGCTTCCTATGAGATGAGGCGAGGGCCAGGACGAAGTCGGACCAGCAGACATCAGGGATCTGTGAGATCTGGCGGTTCTGGAGGACCCAACCCCAAACCCCCTCGGGCAATGAAAGAATCACGACGGGAGGGTTTCGCTATTTTCGGCCCCAGGGGGCCCCTACAGGGCAGCGGGACTGTCAAAAAACGACTCACGTTGAAAAAACGGTCCCATGAATGGATCGAGACCTGTGAGGGGTAATTTAACGTCATGAAAAAATCATGGCGTCGGGGGTCTGGATCCGGTGCCGCGGCCGTTCCAGAGCGCCCCAGGGCGCTCTCAGAACGTGACAGAGCGCTCTCGAACGACTTCTCCTGGTCCTGGCCCCGCCCGACTCTTGCCCTCGAGGGGGGAAAAGCGGCGCGCCGCTTCGCTGCGGCGGGGCGCAGCTTGCAAAAGTGTTAGGTCGGGCATGTCCTCCTGTAGGCCGACTTTGGACGAAAAATGAAAAATAGTAGAAGAAATCAAAAATCCGCCGATCCGACGTGTGAGTTTCAGAGAGCGTGGACTTTGAGCTCGCTCAAGCTTCGCTCTGCAAGGGGGGGGGGGACGCCATTACCGACGCCATTCAGTGCTCGGGAGCCAGGGGGGTTCGCTCTGCAAGGGGGGGGGGGGGGGCGACATTGCATTCAGCGCTCGGGAGCCAGGGGGGAGGGTTCGCTCTGCGTCCCCCGATCCCGGCCGCGGGCTCCGGCCCTGGCCCCTGGCCCAGCAGCTCCCAGTCCGGGTCACCGTCCAAGCCCCCGGTCCCGGCCCCATGATGCCCCCTGGTCCCGGTCCCGGCCCCGATCCCCTGTTCCGGCCCCGGCCCCGGCCGCGGCTGGTCCCAGCCCTGGCGCTGGCCCCAGTCCAGCCCCAGCCCCGGCCCCGGTTCCGACCTCGGCCTCGGCCTCGGCCTCGGCCGGCCCCGGCCTCGGCCCCTGCCCCGGCCCCAGCCCTAGAATCCCGGCCCCAGCCCCGGCTCTGGCTCCCGGCCCGCTCTGGCCTCGGCCCCGGCCCTGGTCCCGGCCCCAGCCCCAGCCCTGGCTCACGGCCCCAGCCCTGGCCCCGGCTCCGGTTCCGGCCCTGGCCCCATTTCCCGGCCCTGGTTTTGGCCCCGGCCCAGGTTCCGGCTTCGGTCCCAGCTCCAACCCTGGCCCCGACCCCGGCCCCGACCCCCGCCCCCAGTCGTGGCTCTCGGTCCCGGTCCCGGCCTCCTCCTCCGCCTCCTCCTCCTCCTCCTTCTCCGCCTCCTCCTCCTCCTCCTCCTCCTTCTCCTCTTCCTCCTCCTCCTCCCTCCTCCTCCGCCTCCTCCTCCTCCTCCTCCACCTCTCTTTCTTGTTCGTAGTAATATTATTCGTACTATTATTATAATGAATGTTCCGATTATTACTCTTATTGTTATTATCCAGATTATCCCGGCAAAGCAACCTAACAGCGATGTGTAGAAGCATATCTGGAAGCATTGCCCTTGAGATTCATGTAGGAGTCCTGGTGTAGAATTCTGGTGTCCTCGCAGTCGCTCGTCGTCCTGCTCGTCCTCGCATGTAGGAGTCCTCGTCCTCCTCCTCCTCCTCCTCCTCCTCCTCCTGCTCGTCCTCCTTCTCCTGCTCCTCCTTCTCCTGCTCCTCCTCCTCCTCGTGCTCGTCCTCGTCCTCCTCGTCTTGCTCGTCCTTCTCCTCCTCGTGCTCTTGCCCCTGCTCCTCCTACAGTTGGCTCCGGGCATTGAAAATGCGGCCCGGGAATGGAATTCTGGGAACTCGAAGAGCACGAAGTGGCCTACAGTTGGCTCCGGGCATTCAAAATGTGGCCCCGGAATGGAGTTCTGGGAACTCGAAGAGCACGAAGTGGCCTACAGTTGGCTCCGGGCGTTCAAAATGTGGCCCGGGAATGGAGTTCTGGGAACTCGAAGAGCACGAAGTGGCCTACAGTTGGTTCCGGGCATTCAGAATGTGGCCCGGGAATGGAGTTTGGGGACCTCGAAGACCACGAAGTGTGCAACTGTTGGCTTGAAAAAAATCCCCGGCATCTCCCTGGATCGCGCCCAGACCCCCCTGGGGCGTCATGATGCTCTCTGTTGGCCCCACTAGAAGCCAATCAGTCTGCGCTGTTAGAGAAAATCCTTCTTATTCGTATGATTACTACTATTTTCCGTATCATGATCATCACTGTTCTTATTAGTTTGATTATTCGCATTAGTCGTACTAGTTGTATGCTTCTTATTATTCGTAGTTTTCCTTGTTAGTGTCATGATTGTTCTTAGTATCATTATGGTTATTATTCTTAGTATTATTGTCATGATTATGATTCGTCGTCGTGCGAGTAATATTTGTATTCTTATGTTTCGTCTTATTATGGTTAGTATTATTGTTATTATTATGATCAGTAATACTAATGCTATTGTTGTACGTATGATTAGTCTTATGATTACTAGTAGTAGAAGTATTCCTCCTCCTCCACCTCCTCCGCCTCCTCCTCCTCAGCATCATCATCATCATCATCACCACCATCATCAGCTGCAGCAGCAGCATCCGCATCCGCATCCGCATCCGCATCCGCATCCGCATCAGCATCATCATCATCATCATCATCATCATCATCATCATCATCATCATCATCATCATCATGTTCAGCATCATCATATTATTCCTTGCTCATCCTCATCATCATCATCCTCCACCACACCACCACCACTACCACCATCATCATCATCATCATCAGCAGCAGCAGTAGCATCAGTATCATCATCAACAACACCACCACCACCATCATCATCATCATCATCATCATGAGCATCAGCATCAGTATCAGCATCATCATCGTCATCATCATCAGCATCATCATCAGCATCATCATCAGCATCATCATCGTCCTCACCCTCATCATCATCCTCGTCCTCATCCTCGTTCTCATCATCCTCCTCCCTCCTCCCATCGCTTCCTGTTCTTCCTGATGCTGCTCCTCCTCATCCTCCTCGTCCTCCTCGTCCTCCTCCTCCTCCTCTTCCTTCTCCTCCTCCTCCGCCGTTCTCCCCATCCTCCCCATCCTCCCTCCTCCCTCCTCCCTCCTCACTCCTCCCTCCTCCCTCCCCCTTCTCCCGCCTCCCGCCTCCCGCCTCCCGCCTCCCTCCTCCCATTAGTCGTAAGTCGTCCGTTGTCGGCGTCGAGGCCGTCATCGTCGTCGTCGTCGTCGCCGTCGTCGTCGTGTCAACCACCAGCATCTGGAGCGCCTCGGATCGGCGGCACTGGCCAGACGCCATCCAGTAGTCTAAAAATCGTCTCCAGGCTATTACTTTACTATTTTTGAATTTTCCTCGTGTAGAGGGACATACCCGACTTAACACAAGTAAGAAGCCCCGGCGGGGTCCGTGAAGACCCACTCTGAGCAGCCCAGGGCCCCGGGACAAGGCCGTTCTGGCCAGCAGGCGAGTCCAGGAGAGCGCGCCAGGTGTGATTAACCCAAAAAAAGACCCTAACCCTGGGGGAGGGCACCTAAATTAGGAAGGGCCAGAAACATTCGGGATAGGAGGTCTTCTCTGCTGATGTACCTAGCCAAACCGCCCATATGTGTGGTCCCTACTTACTGTGAAGACGGGGACCTTAGTGAGGCCACGTCCTTATCGTGTTATCAGGGTTAGGGGTCCTTTTGTTCTCAATGACCCACGGCAGGTTCGTGTCGTGACGACCCTGGCATTGGTTTTGGTTTCTGACACTCCGTGTGGATCGTTCAAACCTTGGACGATCGGCAGCGTTTCGACCGCCAGACCGTTCCGTATTGGCCGATTCTGGGCCACTGGCGGCGTTCAACCTTGAACGCCCGCGGCGGGGTCGCTGCCGCGTCGGTACGACACGCACCTACCGTGCACCAGTCCTGGTCAAGTCCCTGTCCAGGGCCAAGGGATTGGCCCAGCCAGGCTCGGCATGGGTGTACGGCTGGCGTCCCCCGTAATGGGGAGGGCGAATGCGGGCTAGAGCGCGAGGTGTGTCCTGGGACGACCCCAGGGGGCAGTGGATGTGATGTGCATACATTGCGGCCCCCCTGGTGCCCCAACGTTTCAATTTCCAGGGGCTGCCGCGGTCCCCGAAGATCGACCCCCTGGGCGAAGGTTATAGATAAATCCACGATCCTCGCCTCGGAGAACGTGCGTCGGATCGGGCTGCATCGGCACGGAGTCGAAATCGAATCGGATCGGCCGCACCAGGATGCACGGCAGCGGCAGGCACGCATCGGGCCGCACCGGATCGCCAGAATGTCGGAATCGGATCGGATCGGGTCGGCCGAGGTCGAGATCGAAGCGGATCGATCGAATCGAAATGAACCCTGGGGGGGAAAGACTCGACGATGCCTCGTCGTTGGGCTTTCCGGTCACACCTCGGGTCACTGGCGGCTGCTCGAAACGATTCGGGCACCCTCAGAACGCCCTCGGCAAGGCGCAACTGCCGCTCGACGATGCCTCCTCTTTGGGCTTGCCGGTCACAAATCGGATCACTGGCGGCTGCTCGAGACGAATCGGGCACCCCCAGAGCGCCCTCGGCGAGGCCAAACTGCCAAAGGCAGCCTCCCTCGTTTTCGGTCTGCCTGCGAGCGCCCGCCCCCGCGAGCGGGAAGCACGCGGTCGCCGAACAGCGGGATCAACTGCGATCGCCACCCCAAGCCGACGATGACGACGACGAGAACGACGAGAACGACGAGAACGACGACGACGACGACGACGACGACGACGACGACGTTGACGTCGTCTTCGCCGTCGCTGTCGCGGCTGCCCGGGGTGTCCTCGTCAGCAGCGCTGAAGGCGGCATCGACCAGCTCGTCCTCCTCCTCTGCCACTTCCAGCGGGCAGGTCCCCGCCATCAGCCCCATGATGGTCCCCAGGTGCGCCTCGCGGCGGGGCCTCCTGCCCCTCCCCTCGCCGCCGCGAGGCCCCACGGGGAGCCGCGGTGGAGCTGAGCAGCGCTGCGGCCGCGAGGTGTGCGCCCGCGCGGACTCCTGCGCGCGAGGCGCTCTGGCCGCTCTGGCTACATTCGCAGGGCGGCGAAATCTTTGCCTCTCCACATCAGAACCAAGGGGACGCCCCTCCCCCCTGACCCCCCCTCCCAGGGGGGACAGGGGGGGGTTTCAAGCCCCCCCCCTGGCGCTGGCGCAGTGCTGGCGGCGGCCAGCAGCGCCGACGGCAGACGCAGCGACGATGACCAGAGAGGCCCCAGGGGAAGGGCGGGGTCCAACCCCCCCCGCCCCCCTCGGCGCCAGCGCTGTTGCCGGCGCTGGCGCCGGCGCTGGCGGCGGCCAGCAGCGCCGACGGCGGGAACTCAGCGACGATGACGAGAGAGGGCCCAGAGGTCGCAGAAGGGAAACACAAATCGCAATGTGCATCACCACCACAACAACCACCACAACCACCAACAACAACCACCACACCACCACCACCACCGCCACAACCACCACCACCACCACCACCATCACAGCCCACCACCACCACCACCATCGCCTGACCTAAAGCCGAAACACGGTGGCGGAAAGACCCGAAGGCCCCACCACCACCACCAACACCACCACCACAAACCACCACACCACCACCACCACTACCACCACCGCAACCACCACTACCATCACCCACCACCACCACTACAACCCACCGCCACCACCACCACCGCAACAACCGCCACCACCACCACCACCACCACCACCCACCACACACCACCACCACCACCACTACCACCACCACCACCACTACCACCACCACCACCAACAACACCACAGCCTACCACCACCACCACAAACCACTACACCACCGCCACCACCACCACCACCACTACCACCACTACCACCACAACTCACCACCACTACCACCACACCACCCCCACGTAACCACCACGTAACCTCCACCACCACCACCACCACCACCCACAACAACCCACCACCACCACCACCAGTCTACCACACCACCACCACCACCGCCACAACCACCACCTCACCACCAGAACCACAACCACCACCACCACCACCACCACTTCCACCACAAACCACTACACCACCACACCACCACAACCCACCACCACCGCCACGACCACCACCACAACCCACCACCACCACCACCACCACCGCCACCACCACCACCACAACCCACCACAACCCACCACAACCCACCACAACCACCACCATCACCAAAACCCGCTACACCACCACCACCACCACCACCAAAAACGCCACCACCACCACCACCACCACGACAACCCACCACAGCCCACCACAACCACCACGACCACCATCACCACCACAACCACCACACCACTACCACCACCGTCACCACCACCACTGCCACCACCACCACCACCAGGACCCACCACCACAACCACCACCACCACAAACCACCACACCACCACCACCACCACCACCAGAACCACCACCACCACCACCAACCACCACCCACCACACCACCACAGCCCACCACCGCCACCACCGCCTCAGAATGGCCCCAAGAGACGTCCAGAAAGCGCCGAGGAGGCTCCGCAAATGCCATTCAGAGACCCTCGAGAGCCCTCCTACGAGACACCGAGAGGCATCCATGAGGTCGCTGACCCCAAACCACGGCACGGTGGCGGAGCGTCGTCGTCGTCATCGTTGTCGCCAGCCGCCGCAAGCGCCGGCAGCCGCCGCAAGCGCCGCCGCCAGTCGTCGTCGTCATCGACGCTCCCCGCCGCCGCCGCCAGCCGCCGCAAGCGCCGGCAGCCAAGAAGAGGAAGTCGTCGTTTTCATCGACGCTCCCCGTCGCCGCCGCCAGCCGCGGCCGACGCCAGCGCTGGCCCGAGGAGAGAGAGAGAGAGGAAATAACGGGGGAAGGTTGAAACCACCCCCCTCCGTCACGGAAGAAGGCCCCCTTTTTCAATCCAGGGGGGGAGGGGGGGGGTCCAGTTCCAACCCGCCCCCCCTCCAAGCGCCAACAGGCACGCTCTTCATACAGACCTGCATACATACATACCTACCGACCTACGTACATACATACATACATACGTAGATACGTACGCACGTACATACATACATGCATGCATGTATACATACATACATGCATGCATACTCGCATCCATATATACGTACATACATGCATGCATACATACATACAAACATACATACATACATACATACGTACAGACAGACAGACAGACAGACAGACAGACAGACAGACAGACATAGATACGGACATACATACATATGTACGTGCATATAGTCCTACATGTATGCACGCATACATACATCACATGCATGTATGCGTTCATGTACAAATGCATACAGACATGCATACATGCATACATGCATACATGCATGCATACATACGAACATGTGTATACATAGATATGAATGCATACGCAAATATGTATATACACATTCATACCTGCATGCATGCACCTTGTCACTACATTGCAACTATACAAATGCGTATATACCTACCTTCAGACATGCATGCATACATATCTATACATATATACATGTATGTGTATATAGTCACATGCATGCATGCATGTAACCACATGCGAACAAACAGACATACATGCATACATACATACACGCAATCATGCATACCTACATACATACCTGCATACATACATGCATACATACATGCGTACATGCATGTATACATACATACATACACACATGCATGCATGCATGCATACACGCATACAAACATACATACATGCATGCAGACATGCAGACATGCATACATACATGTCTACATACATACATACATACATACATACATACATACATACGTACGTACATACATACATACATACATACATACATACATACATACATACATACATACTCATGTACATACATACATATATAAAGACATACATACATACATACATACATACATACATACATACATACATACATACACACATCCATATAACCATACATACATACATGCATACATGCATGCATGCATACATATGCATGTACACCTATATACATACATGCATGCATACATGCATACATACATACATACATACCTACATACATATACATGCATATATATATATATACACATGCATGCATGCATACATGCATACATGCATACATGCATACATATATATATATATATATATATATATGCATACATGCATGCATACATACGTATACTTCCACATACATGTGTATGAATGTATATGTATATGTGTGTGCTCAGCCACCCCACCCCCGCCCCCCAACAACAACAACAACAACAACAACAACAACAACAACAACAACAACAACAACAACAACAACAACAACAGCAGCAGCAACAACAACAACAGCAGCAAAAAACTCAGTCAGCGGACGCACCGATGATCCTCCTCCTCCTCTTCTTCGTCCTCCTCCTCCTCCTCCGCCTCCTCCTCCGCCTCAGCCTCCGCCTCGTCCTCCTCCTCCTCCTTTTCCTCCCTTTCCTCCTTATCCTCCTCCTCATCCTCCTCCTCCTCATCATCCTCCTCCTCTTTCATGTTCCTCTCTCCCCATCGCTCCTCCTCAGTATCCTCTTCCTCCTCCTTCTCCTCCTTCTCCTCCTCCTCCTCCTCATCATCATCATCATCATCATCATCATCATCCTCATCCTCATCCTCATCCTCCTCCTCCTCTTCCTCCTTCTCCTCCTCCTTCTCCCCCTCCTTTTCCTCGTCCTCCTCCTCCGCCCCCTCCTCATCATCCCAATATTCCTCTTCTTCCGCGTCCTCCTCCTCCGCGCCGACGGACTGCGAGGCCATCAACGTCATCACAATTATCCTCCCCTGATATTGATATTCTTCGTGCTATTCAGGTCAGGCGCAGTTCAATCGATGACAGTCCAATCGATTGCACTCCAACAGATTGCAGACCAACCGATCGCAATCACATCCATTGCAACCCAATCGGTTACAATCCAATCGATTGCATTCCCATCGATTCAACTTCAACCGATTGCAACCCTAGTGGTTGCAATCGTTCGCGACGCATTGCAACCCAATCGAGGAGCGAAGAGGAGGAGGAGGAGGATGAGAAGAATGAGGAAGGGGAGGAGGAAACATCGGAGCAGATAGGAGACAGAAAGAGAGTGATGAGTGAGGAGTGAAGGGTAAAGTCCGAGCATTGTGGATGAGGGAAGGAGGAGGACTGAGGGGACAAGAATCGCGAGGCTAAGGAGGACGAGGAAAGGGGAAAAGGAGACATGCGTAGGACCAAGGACAAGGAGGAGGAGGAGGAGAAGGAAGGAAGAGGAGGAAAAGGGAAGCATCCGCATACGATGCATTTCATAAGGAAACCCTCGAATACGAGCTACTTCATCTGAGAGGTTTTGAATCTCACAGTGCCGCCCCAAGCTCTCTTGCTCGCAGCCATGGGAAACCCCCGAGAGGGGCACGAAGGATCACAACGACTAACTCACTGCGAACCGAGCCTACCAAACCAAAAACAGGCTTTAGGTTTTCTTGCGGCAGCCTTGCCTGGACAAGCTCGCGGCTGCCTGCAAGGCCGCGGCCTCGACCAAGATCCACGCGCCGGCGCGGATAGCCACGGAACGGCACGCCAAAGAGGCAACCGCGCGCTTGGCTGACCAAGCCGTCGTGCTTCTGCGCTGTAGCCCAACGTTCGCCGGCGTCCGCTCGCCCCCTGCTGAAGAACAATCGCAAGGTGGCAGAGGGCATGCATTCCGCGCTGTACGCGGCCCGTGCCAAGCACATCAACTCCCGCGAGAGGAGCACCGTCTTTGGCAAGGACCAGGACGGCAACTCGCCCGAGAGGGCGGACGCCGAGGCGGACGAGGTCGACGCGGTTCAGCGCGGAAGCCCCGGGCCCTTGATCCTCTTCAAGCTGAAGCCAGAGAGGGCCAAGCGCCGCGCGCTTGGCCCTGGTCCGATTCGGAAGAGGGATCGGGCGCCCACGGCGTCCAAGTGGCTCAAGCACCTCCGCGTCATCCTCCACGCGGACGCGGCGGGATCGCACAAGTTGAACGTCGACGGCGCCTTGCCCTTGCACGACTGGGCGGTGCGCAAGGAAAGAAAAGGTGAAGACTGGCGGGGAGCGGGCGCGGCTAACGCCAGCCTTCATGAAGGTTCGCTGCCGCAACGTGCCCGGTCAGGGCGCGCCTCGCGGGGCGAAGCCTTCGCGGGCGAAGCGCGGCGCCAAGCTGATCGACAGCGCGCGGGGCGAGCCGCGCAAGGCCGTCGGCAACGGCGCGACGAAGACGGTGAATTCTGCCCTTCTCCGCAGCAAGGCAGGCCAGATGAACGGCGTGCAAGGCGTCTGCTGACGTGGGAGCCGCCTCTTTAATCTTCAGCCAAACAACAACGCTGCCCTACGGGAGGGGGCGGTGCCGCCCAGTGCGGGAGGGGCCGCTGGGCGGCTTGCGCTGAGGTTCGGAGAAGCAGCCCAGCGCGGCAGACACATTTTTCCACGCGCTCACTGGCCCATGAAAGGTGCGTTCCTTCCAACGGGCGCACTTGCACCGCGGTTGCGATCTCTGGCTGGCGACTGGCCAGATGCTCCGCGAGGCGTGGTCCAGCGAGCACGCTCAGTGTCTTCGGCGAGCGCAGACGAAAATAGCTGGAGCTTGGCGCGCAGCATGCATTCTGAGCAAGTCCTGCTTAGACGGGCTCCACGCTAGCGGATTACGATCGTGTTCAGTGATGTTTGGTCTGGCAATATGAACCTTCACAGTTGCGTTTGAAAACTCCATGTTGTGGCGCGCACCAACCGTAATCATGGGCGGTCAGGTAGCCGTCGTAGTTGCAGCATCTACCGGCCTTCGCGCTCAAGGTCCAGGCGCGGGCAGCCAGGCACGCCAGCCTGGCCCGGCAACAGACGCTCGGAGAGGTGCGCGCGCGGGCAGTAGCTTGCACTCAAGGCTCCATACGCGGGGCCTACCTCTACATCAAGAAGGAGGACGAGACTCAGACTTTAGCGGGGACCTGCATTGATCCCAACACGGGCGAGAGCTGCGACGCAGTCCAGGCGTCCACCGATGCTAGGGCACGGCGTTGACTGGTGCCATGCTGAAGGCCCGCACCTTGGCAGCCGACTCGCCCCTGACCAGGCGCCAACACACCCGCGACGACTTGGTGGCGGCTGCTCTCAAGACGCTCCCCAAGAACACTGGCAAGGGCTCCGAGCAGTGGGCCCCTGGGCACATCCTCGCGCTGCCAGCAGCGGCCAAGAGGCGCTCGTGACGCTCGCCAACATGATCGAGAGAGGATGGGCCTGGCCCCACCAGCTGCTGCACAACTGGCACGCCCTCCTCCTCAAGCTTGCGACGCAGGTCGTCGGCAATGAGAGGGACGTCGGCCTCCTTCCCACCACCGTGCGCAGATGGGGCCGCATGACCAAGACGGTGATGACGGAGTGGTGCGACCAGAAGGCCGCACCCTGGGACGCGGCAGCGCGTGGCAGCTCGGCCTTGCAGCCGGCGCTGCTCACCGGAGTGAGGGATGAGACGCGCGCGCACGTTGGAGTGAATGAGCAGAGCAATTGCTCTATGGACGTGGAGACGTTCTACGACAACATGGACCTGGCCCTCATGGTCGAGCAGAGCATCTGCTTGGAGGCTCTGCCTGTCGAGCTCTACCTCAGTTGCCTCACGTACCTGGCGCCCCGTGCGGTCAAGACCCATGGCGCCTACAGCGATTACATCGTGCCCAACTGCGCGATGCTCCCTGGATGCGGCAAGGCGAACCATTGGGCACGTGCATTCCTCTACTACCTCATGGAGACTGCCTACAGCAAGGCGCCCATGGCACGGGTGCGACAATATGTTGACGAAATCCATACCCGAGTAGATGGCACTGCTGCTGAAGTTCTGAAACAACCGAAAGTAGTTGCCGTCTCACTGGTGCAGGGCTGCCTGGACTTGGGCCTGAAGGTCTCGCCGAAGTCCATCCTGATGACTACCAGGAGCCAGGGTGAGAAGACCGTGCTGGACTAGATCAACCAGCCGACAGGAGTGAGCGCGCAGAGGGCCACCTCCGCCAAGGACCTCGGCATCGACAGCTCCATGGGCATCAGGCGAAGCAACAGGACAGCTCGGACCCCCATGACGGCGGCACGAGCTAGATCGGTTTGCACGAGGCTATTCCGACGACTCGGGAGAGGCCTCAAGCGGGCCAAAGGCGCATAACTGCACAACACCAACATCAGGGCGAAGTACCAATTCGCCGACCCAATCATCGGGGTCCACTACCGCGAGGCGCCGTGCTCAGGCGGCTGACCTCACGGGGCATCCCAAAGGAGGCTGCTGCACGGTATCCACCCTGCTGCTCCTCTACCAGTAGAACAAACCCAAGATGGCGGCGATGGCGCAGCAGGTCCAGGAGTGGTTCCACTTCTGGGCGCGACACACTGCACTTGGCGATCGGGTTCGATTGGGCTGGCGTGCTGTCCTCGGGAAGCTGATCTACACCAGACCAAGGGCGCGATGCAGGGTCGTATGACAAGACCCATGGGCGCGCTCATGATAGCCCTGGGGGACATCAAGTGGATCCCGCGCACGCCAGACATATGGATCAACGACCAGGGGTTCGAGAGGCGACACCTCCGCAACGACGACGACAGCCACCAGGAGCTCGTAACGGCCATCCAGGACTCGATCACCAGGCAGCTGTGGGCGCAGGCCAGCGACCATCCGCTGGGCGAGGGCCTGGAGAGCGGCGGCAACCTCCACAAGGTGAGGGTCAACCTTCGCAGGATGAGGCGCCGGGAGCAACATCAGGAATCCGGTGCGCTGGAGGCTCTCGTGGTCTGCGGCATCTGGACCAAGGCGAGGGCCAAGGCTGCGGGCTATGACTGCGACGACCTGTGCGAGCGTGCGGCGGCGCGGCCGACACCTTCGGCAACAGGTTCTACGAGCGAGAGGCCAACGCCAGCCTCGAGCACCCCTGGGTGGTTCGCACGGCGAGCCTCTGGGCAATGACCTGGCCGATCGTCGCAGCGTCGCCTTCTGGGAGAGGGGACTCGTTCCTGTGGAATGGCATCAGGTGCCTTCCCCACCCGCCTGGAGGTCAGGAGAGGGGCTGGAAGTTTGGGCTGCAGGTACCCTCCCTCCTCGCCTCGACTCGTCCACCCTTGAGGTCCTCCCCCCCTCGCCTCCCTCCCCGCCTCCTCTTGGAAGCGGGCTCGGGGGAACCGAGGAGTCGGGCCGCGGCAGGGCTGGCGACGACGCCGAAGAAGAACGGGACCCCTGGGCCGCCGAGACGGCCTTTGCCACAGCCATGCCGCCCCCCCTGCCCTAGGCCGTGGGAGAGGGCACCGCGGCAGGGGCCAGGATGGCCTTCCTGGACGGCTCCGCCCCTTCCAGCGATGCCAGGGTCTGTCGCGTCGGATGGGGGGTGTACTTCGTAGGGAGCTGGGCGGAGCTGGAAGTGAACGGGGGGAGAGACTTCTGCCTTTTTCGGGGCCGTCGATGGGGACCAGACGGTCCCTGTCGATAAGCTGGCGGCCCTGCGGAGGGCCCTGCAGCTGTCCATGGGGCCCCTGGTCATCTTCACGGACTGCCAGCTGGTCTGTGACGGTTGGACTCGTAGCGCTGCGCGCTCTCCGCACGGCCCCTGTCCAAGTGGTGGGCCCGCGTTAGGCTGGCTTTGGAGAGTCGCAGAGATCAAGGGGCTGGAGTCGAGCTCCGCAAAGTTGATTCGCAGTTGGAGGTGGCTTCCCACGTGCGCGCGGGGCAAGACCCCCGCCGTTCAAGAGGCAACGAGATCGCTGATCAGCTGGCTCAGCGTGGTGCTGAAGCACCCGCTGCCCCTATCAAGCACCTTTTGCGTGCCTTGGCGGCGGCGGATGCCAAGGCCATACTGGTCCAGCAGCGCATCGGCGCGATCACCAGCCTGATCTGCGGCGATATCGAGCGCGATCGACAAGAGCGGCCTGCCGTGGACGGGTCGGTCGGGTCGCGCTCCGCCCCGAGTAGAATCGGGGAGCTCGAAGCCCGATCTGGTCACAAGATGACCCGCATGCGGGCGGGAGCCTGGGTCTGCAAGGTGTGCCCACAGACCCCCGGAAGGCTCTCCTCGGCTGACTGGCTCCAGAGTGCAGCGTGCCGTGGGGATGCTTGCAGGCGGGACCTTAGCGAGCAAGGCCACCACGCCCACGTTCCCCCCACCTGTATCCGCAAGCTGCGGGTACAGTCACCCCGCAGAGGAAGGATGCGCGATAAGGATGCAAGGCCCTGGGACGTCCATTCCGAAGCGCTTCGAGCGGGGCGCGGCCAACGAAAGTGTCCAAGGATGGACCCAGGACGCAAGGATGCAAAGGTACCCTTGGGAGGGACGCCTATCCTTACTCTGCGGGTCGACTGTAGGCTCGAGGTCAGCGCACCCGCCCCACACCATGGCCGTGCAGCACGGCTCGGCGTGGCGCTGGGCGTGCGCCCGGCAGGCCCCGATTGTTGCAGGGGGGGCGCCTCTGCAGGCTGGCCCGCCTACTACTACTACTACTACTACTACTACTACTACTACTACTACTACTACTACTACTACTACTACTACTACTACTACTACTACTACTACTACTACTACTACTACTACTACTACTACTACTACTACTACTACTACTACTACTACTACTACTACTACTACTACTACTACTACTACTACTACTACTACTACTACTACTACTACTACTACTACTACTACTACTACTACTACTACTACTACTACTACTACTACTACTACTACTACTACTACTACTACTACTACTACTACTACTACT